CCATTTTCTATGGCCGTTTGTAGTTCGGTACGCGGCGCATCAGATCAACCTTCAGCCCATGGTCTCCATGGCGGAGACCTCCCCAGCTTTGCTGTGGACAGGGAAGGTTGGCGATGCGTCTGCGTTCCGTGTCTGGGGATCTCGGGCGTTTGTCCGCGACTTGTCTGCGGACAAGCTGTCCCCTCGTGCTGCTCCTTGCGTCTTCCTTGGCTTCCCCCCTGACGCGCCAGGGTGGCAGTTCTACCACCCCACCTCGCGCCGTGTTCTGTCCTCCCAGGACGTCACGTTTGACGAGTCGGTTCCCTACTACCGTCTCTTCCCCTACCGCACTCCGTCCCTCCCCCCGCCACCGCTCTTCCTTGTGCCAGGTCCCCCCCCCCGGTAGACCCCCTTCCCCCTTAGGGTCTTGCCCCCTCAGGTGTGTCCCAAGTAGACGCAGTCGAGCCTGTTGAGGTAGCTGTTGACTCTGGTGCTGCTGGGGGTGCTGCGCCTGGGGGTGCTGACTCTGAGGGTGCGGAGACTGGGGGTGCTGAGACTGGGGGTGCTACGCCTGGGGGTGCTACGCCTGGGGGTGCTGAGCCTGGGGGTGTTACGACTGGGGGTGCTGAGCCTGGGGTTGCGGAGCCTGAGGGTGCCGGGCCTACTCGTGTGGTGTCTAGCGGTGCTGGACCTGGAGGTTCTCCGGGTGCTTCGTCTCGGCGGGAGCTCCTCTCTCCACACGAGGTGCGTGAGTGGTTTGCCCGGCGTTGAAGGCGTGCTGCTGGAGCAGGAGCTGCTGCTGGTGCTGGGGGTTCTACTGCTCCTGAGGGTGCTGGTGCTTGTATTGGAGGTACTGGAGCTGCTGGGCCTGTTGGTGCTCCTCGTACTGGAGTCGGAGCTGCTGCGTCTTCTGGTGGTCCGCCTGGAGCTAGAGCTACTGGGGGTGTTGGCACTGAGGGTGCTGCTGGCGCTAGTGCTAATGAGGGTGCTGGAGGTGGCGCTGCTGGAGCTGGGGGTGCTACTGGCGCTGGTGCTACCGTTGGGGGCACTGGTGGTGTTCCTGCTGGTTCTGGGGGCGCCTCACAGCCGCGGCCGTACTTCGTTCCGCTCCTTGAGCATGTTCTTGGTCTTCCGTCCTCTCTTGGTCCTGCAACTCTCTTAGAGTGTCTGCCGCCTGTCCAGTCCGAGTCACGGTTACAGCCGGCCTCCCCACTGCCTACTCCGTCTCCCTACACTGGTCCTAGTGGAGGTCTTGCTGAGCGTCGTGCGCCTGCGTCTCGCCCTGCGTCGCCTGTCCGTGCTTCTCGCACTAGTGGACATGGTACGCGTCAGCGTCCTCCCCCTGTCCCTGGCATGCACCGGATGTCTCTGCGTCCTTCCACTGCTCCACTGCGTGCCCCTTTGCCTTCTCCTCCCGAGTCCTCTCTTCCTGCTCGAGCTGACCTGGAGTCGGACTCTCTTCGTGCTGCCAGTCCTACTGTCACGCGTCTCCTTGCTACTGTTGTCAATGACCCTTCCTTTGAGTCCGCTGCTGCGTCTGCCTTGGTCACTGAGCTCGTCGACTTTGCTGCTTGCTGTCGTCTAGAATACGCTGCTAGTCTTGTTGCTGAGTCTGAGTCTGTCTGTCCTCCGTCCGTCGGGGGTGAGTGTCCCCTTGGCACGGACGTCCTTGAGGACAGGCAGGAGGAGTTCCAGTGTTTGGCTGCTGCTTCACCTCATCTCGTGTCCGTGCTGCTTACCCCCGAGGGAGACCCGGATGCACTTTACATCCCGACTCCGCACTCTTACGCGGAGGCGATAGAGGGTCCCTACTCCTCTCAGTGGCAGGCAGCTATGGACGCAGAGATGGCTCCCTGGAAGTCCACAGGCACCTACGTTGACGAGGTTCCCCCGCCTGGGGCGAACATCGTCAGTGGCATGTGGATTTTCAGGGTGAAGCGGCCGCCGGGTTCTCCGCCTGTCTTCAAGGCGCGTTACGTGGCTCGTGGCTTCAGTCAGCAGCAAGGAGTTGACTACTTTCAGACCTTCTCTCCCACCCCGAAGATGACCACTCTTCGGGTACTGCTGCACATAGCCGCTCACCGTAACTACGAGCTGCACTCTCTTGACTTCAGCACTGCTTTCTTGCAGGGCAGCCTGCACGAGGAGATCTGGCTGCGCCGCCCACTTGGCTTCACTAGGACTTTTCATCCTGGCACCCAGTGGAGCCTCCGGCGGCCAGTCTACGGTCTCCGCCAGGCACCTCGTGAGTGGCACGACACACTGAGGACTACATTTGCGGCTCTTGGGTTTGCTCCCTCTACTGCCGACCCGTCGCTGTTTCTGCGCACCGGCACTTCTTTGCCGCCGTTCTACATCCTCGTGTACGTCGACGACTTGGTCTTTGCCATAGCTGACACTGCTGGACTCGCCTACGTGAAGTTCGAGCTGCAGAAGAGACACACGTGCACAGACCTAGGTGAACTGCGCAGCTACCTTGGCTTGCAGATCACCCGGGACAGAGCACAGCGCACCATTACCCTGACTCAGTCACACATGGTGCAGCAGGTCCTTCAGCGCTTCGGCTTCACGTACTCCTCGCCTCAGGCCACTCCTCTGTCTACTCGCCACTCGCTCTCAGCTCTGCCTTCGGATGAGTCCGTAGAGTCGAGTGGCCCGTACCCAGAGCTTGTTGGCTGCCTCATGTACCTGATGACCTGCACACGTCCTGACCTTGCATACCCTCTTAGCATTCTGGCACGCTTGTGCAGCGAAGAGGGTGTTGCGCTACTTGTGCAGTACGTCGGGCATGGGGCTAGTGCTTGGAGGGCGGAGTCCAGTGGTCCTCACTGGTCACGCAGACGCTTTTTGGGCTGACGACCAGGCTACGCAGCGGTCGTCACAGGGTTACACCTTCAGCCTTGGTTCCGCCTCTGTCTCGTGGCGGTCTTCTCGCTCGTCTTCTGTTCTCGGCTCCAGCTGTGAGGCTGAGATCTACGCAGGGGCCATGGCTGCACAGGAGCTACGCTGGCTCACCTACCTGCTGACTGACCTGGGAGAGCCGCCTCGTTCTCCTCCAGTGTTGTACGTAGACAACAAGGCCATGCTGGCCTTGTGTCGGGAGCACAGAGTGGAGCACAGAACGAAGCACATCGCTCTTCGCTACTTCCTTGCTCGTGAGCTGCAGCAGCGTGGTCAGCTGCGCCTTGCTTACGTGGCCTCTCAGGCCAATACTGTTGATATCTTCACCAAGGCACTCGCGCCTTGTGATCATCAGCGCTTCTGTACTCAGTTAGGTGATTATCAGCGATCGGGATCAGAAATTTACGTCGAAGTTTTGGCAGGAGATATGGGCACGGTACGGCACCCGCCTGCAGTTTTCGTCGTGATACCACCCGCAAACCGACGAGCAGAGCGATAGGACTAACCAGACGATGGAGCAGTTGATTCGCACAAACTGCCCTGACAATGAGAAGATTCGCTTCCCATGCTCGAATTTGCGTACAACAATGCCCCGTCTGCAACGATCAATCAATCGTCGTTCTACCTTAATTACGGGATAGATCCGGTGGTACCCTCTTCAACGACTCCCAAAAATCCAGTCGCAGCACTTTGTTTCGGAACTTCAAGCAGCACGCGACAAGGCAGCGGAATTCATACGGAAGGCTAATACTGCCGCCAGCCGCTACGCCGACCGACATCGACGGAATTTACCCTTCCGTGACGGGCAGATGGTCCTCTTGGACACGAAGAATCTCTGACTGCCCCAGCCTGCAAAATTGCGCCCCCGCTACGTGCGACGCTTCCGCATCATCCGGATGTTGACCCCGGTCACGGCGAAACTCCTACTACCGGACGACTCGAAGATCCACGACGCCTTCCATGTCAGTTTACTTCGCCACTACGTGGCTCCGCATGTCAGAATCCCAACCACTAGACCATTGGGATAAAAGGGCTTGTTAAGTAGCGGGTCAGTGCGCCCATAACCACCCAGGCCAACATGCCTGTAACCCTTCCCTAGGATCAATCGGGGATCACCAGTGGACCTCTGACACCCCCCCGCACTGGGATGCCCGAAGTGCATACACCGGGATTCGAACCCGAGACCCTCGCTCTGATGCCATGTCAGAATCCCAACCACTAGACCATTGGGATAAAAGGGCTTGTTTCAGTAGGCCAACGTGCCTGTAACCCTTCCCTAGGATCAATCGGGGATCACCAGTCGACCTCTGACACCGCAGCCGTCCGACATCGCTCGACCCAACATCGCGCCAAGTGTCCGACCTGTGGCAGATCCGACGCTTCAACCATGGAAGATTTTAAATCATTGCATTCGTGCGACCCCGGCTGGACGCCACGTCAACTTCCTTCTCCGTTGGGTGGATCGCACAAGCGAAGATGACACGCGGGTCCCGGCCGACTCACTACAAGGCCACTCGGTGTTTCGGGATTATCTTTCCCGCCAACGCGTGCCTGATATTGTCCACCTTTCTTAAGGGGGGGGGGGGGGGGGGGGGGGGGGGGGGGGTTAGTGTAAGGAATTTTACTAATTCCTTACTGAGGCACTTCTTACGCGTACATTTCGAACTTTCGGAGTTCAGGCTCGGTCCGTAGACCTCGCCTTCCGAACGTCCTCCGCATCGCCTTCGGGTTTCCCAACCCCAAACCTGCACCCAACCTTCGCGCGACTCCGTCCGCGACCTCGGCTTAGCTAGCATTGCTATATTATGCCTAGGCCTCGTTGTTTGCCCTGTAGTTGTAATCACTTCCGCGTTATTGAATAGTGCGCACTCTTCTTTCGTACAACTCATAACAAGTCGCTTGATCGCGGTTTCGGGAAGGAGGTGCAAACAGTATTCGCTCTGTTCTAGGGTTTCATCGTGCATTCCTTCGGGAAACTCCGTACATACCGTTTTTTTAACATACCTAGGCATGGTAGCCCTCTGGCGATTCTGGGTGCTCCAATTCTTTGTCTAGTAGACCCCTACCGCCCATCCTTCCTTCCTCCGGTGCGCATCACCCGCTAGTCGCGCGTCCCTGCCATGCGCGGACCGGGCATGGGCGGGTTCCGCGACCCCGCTCCGCGCGCCATGGGTGCGCCAGGAGGGGGCATGAGCGGAGCGTCGAGGGACGAGGACCTCCAGGGGGCGCCACTGCGGGACGGCGGGGGGGTCCGCGGCGGAGGGAGCTACCGGGAGCCGGGCGCCGCGGGGTTGGGCATGGGCATGAGAGACTCGGCGCCGCCAGGGTACCGCGAGATGGGCGGCGCAGGTGCGTTCCGCGACAGGGAGATGGATGGCGCCACGATGACCGCCAGCGGCAGCGGCGGAAGCCTGAACCGATTGGCAGGCAACGGTAGTGGGGGAAACCTGATTCGTTTATCGAACGACTCTGTAGCGGGGATGATGACGTCAACATCGTCCCCGCCTCGGTACCGCCCCAATGCAGCAGCCGGCGGGCCGCCGTTCTTCGGGTCGCCGCCACTGGGGGACCCGATGGCCTTGGGGGGGGGCATGGGGGGACCAATGGGGGGTACCATGGGGGGGCCGATGGCGGCGCGGTCGAAGCGGCGCGGCGGCAGCGCGCGGTACTACCACGTGGCGGCGGCGCTGCGGCAGAACCTGCCGTACCTGGTGATCGCGGCGCTGCTGCTAGTCATCGTGCTCATGCGCGCCCCCGCCCCCGCCCCCCCGCCTGGTGGCCTCGCCACCGCCGCCGCTGCAGCAGGCGGGGCGGAGCGCGCAGCGGCAGCAACAGGGGGGGCGGCGGGGGGGATGCAGGCGGGGAACGGCGCGGGGATGGGAGGGGGAGCCGCCGGGGCGGCGGGGGCAGGCGGGGACGGAAGAGGAGGGGCAGGGGGAGGTGGGGCGAAAGCGGGGGAGGCGGCGGGCAGGCAGATGCTGCAAGGAGCGGGGCGGGCGACGGGAGCAGTGGCGGTGCCTGGCACAGCGGCGGCAGGGAAGGGCGCGAGTGGAGCAGCAGGGGGGGCGGTGGGCGGGCTGCTGTCCATGGGGCTGAGCCGGTTTGGGCTGGGCGGCGGGCAGAAGAAGAACCTGATCAGCATCCTCAAGGCGAACCCCGACGCCGTGGAGGCGCGCGAGGCCACGCGCAACTACCGCTTCCGCGAGCACGCGCCCGTGTACGGGCTGGTGCACTTCGCCAGCTACCGCATGAACGCCGTGAAGTTCGCCATCGTGGGGCTGGCTGGGCGCGCCCTGCGCGACTCGCGCAAGCTGGGCAAGTGCGTGTGGAAGGAGAAGAACGGCGGGCACCGCGTCACCGGCACTCTCACAGGTGAGGCACCCTCACAGGTGAGGCACTCTCACAGGTGAGGCACTCTCACAGGTGAGGCCCTCTCACAGGTGAGGCACTCTCACAGGTGAGGCACTCTCACAGGTGAGGCACTCTCACAGGTGAGGCACTCTCACAGGTGAGGCCCTCTCACAGGTGAGGCACTCTCACAGGTGAGGCCCTCTCACAGGTGAGGCACTCTCACAGGTGAGGCCCTCTCACAGGTGAGGCACTCTCACAGGTGAGGCCCTCTCACAGGTGAGGCCCTCTCACAGGTGAGGCACTCTCACAGGTGAGGCACTCTCACAGGTGAGGCACTCTCACAGGTGAGGCACTCTCACAGGTGAGGCCCTCTCACAGGTGAGGCACTCTCACAGGTGAGGCCCTCTCACAGGTGAGGCACTCTCACAGGTGAGGCACTCTCACAGGTGAGGCCCTCTCACAGGTGAGGCACTCTCACAGGTGAGGCCCTCTCACAGGTGAGGCACTCTCACAGGTGAGGCCCTCTCACAGGTGAGGCACTCTCACAGGTGAGGCACTCTCACAGGTGAGGCACTCTCACAGGTGAGGCACTCTCACAGGTGAGGCCCTCTCACAGGTGAGGCACTCTCACAGGTGAGGCACTCTCACAGGTGAGGCACTCTCACAGGTGAGGCCCTCTCACAGGTGAGGCACTCTCACAGGTGAGGCATTCTCACAGGTGAGGCACTCTCACAGGTGAGGCACTCTCACAGGTGAGGCACTCTCACAGGTGAGGCACTCTCACAGGTGAGGCACTCTCACAGGTGAGGCCCTCTCACAGGTGAGGCACTCTCACAGGTGAGGCCCTCTCACAGGTGAGGCACTCTCACAGGTGAGGCCCTCTCACAGGTGAGGCACTCTCACAGGTGAGGCACTCTCACAGGTGAGGCCCTCTCACAGGTGAGGCACTCTCACAGGTGAGGCCCTCTCACAGGTGAGGCACTCTCACAGGTGAGGCACTCTCACAGGTGAGGCACTCTCACAGGTGAGGCCCTCTCACAGGTGAGGCACTCTCACAGGTGAGGCACTCTCACAGGTGAGGCACTCTCACAGGTGAGGCCCTCTCACAGGTGAGGCACTCTCACAGGTGAGGCCCTCTCACAGGTGAGGCACTCTCACAGGTGAGGCCCTCTCACAGGTGAGGCACTCTCACAGGTGAGGCACTCTCACAGGTGAGGCACTCTCACAGGTGAGGCACTCTCACAGGTGAGGCACTCTCACAGGTGAGGCCCTCTCACAGGTGAGGCACTCTCACAGGTGAGGCCCTCTCACAGGTGAGGCCCTCTCACAGGTGAGGCACTCTCACAGGTGAGGCACTCTCACAGGTGAGGCCGCACCGTGCAGGGGGCTGTTGGGTTGGTGGCCGTAGCAGTCAGTGCTCTCGGATTGTGGCCCACATCCATGCCATGTGGGATGTTCCGGTTTGAGATTAAAGGCACTTTGTGCATGTCTATGTTGATCGCGTGACGCATGATTCATGTTGGGCAACTACCGTGCTGCCTCCTGCCTTTGTTGCACCCGTCCCACCACACACGCCCTGCATGCTGTCCCCCTGCGTGCAGCGTTCTACCCGGGCGAGCACCACAACCTGCGGTACGAGGCGGTGGTGCTGGTGTGCGAGCTGGACGAGTCCACGGAGGCGGACTACGGCGGGCTGCTGCTCGCCACCGTCGACAGGGAGGACGTCGTGGCGTACATGGAGGAGCCCAAGCAGTTCCCCTCCGCCACGCCCAAGCCGCCCTTCAAGTACCAGCTCACGTACTGCTCGCCGCCCCTGGCGGGCAAGATCATCCCGCGGCGCATGTACGAGTGGATGGAGTTCCACCTGCACAGCGGCGTGGACCGCCTCGTGCTGTACGACGCGGGCGGCATCGGGGCGGCGCTGATGACGATGCTGGAGAGCTACACGGAGCAGGGGCTGGTGGAGGTGGTGGACGTGCGGCAGATCACGGCGTACGAGGCGTGGGAGCGCGGCCGCCTCATGGTGCTCAACGACTGCGTGCAGCGCCACCGCTTCTCGTCCAAGTGGGTCTTCTTCGCCGAGATGACCGAGTTCTTCTCCGCCGCCAAGGGCGAGACGCTGCTCGCCACCGTCAACGCCTACGACGGCCGCCCCTACGTCACGTTTGGCAGCCGGTGGTGGTCGTTTGAGAAGTGCACCTTCTCGTCACTCACCGAGCGCATCGTGGTGCGCGGCGCCGCCATGATCGAGGGGCAGAACTCGGGCGACGAGGCGCGCGACGTGGGGGGGATAGCGGAGGGCGGTGCGGGGGAGGGCGGCGTGCAGGTGACGGAGGGGGCGGAGAAGGCGGCGGTGGAGCAGCCGTGGGCGCTGGAGCGCATGCTGTTCCGGTGGCCGCACATCTACTGCACCAACAAGGAGGCGTACCCGCGCTGGGAGCTGTGCCTGGACTACCACGGGTTCCGGCGCGTGGCGGCAGACCCACGGCAGGTGGTGGCGGTGCAGATCCACCGCGTGGAGGTGCCGCGCATGGGCGGCATCGACGTGGACACGGACGCGGCGCGCTTCAACCACTTCCAGGGGCTGGTGGACGACGAGCGCAAGTTCTGCATCAAGAGCGTGCGCCCCGGCGAGCAGCTCGACTGGTGGGTGCGCGACCAGTCCCTCGCCCTGCTCGCCCAGGAGGCCAGGCAGTCGCCCCGCGCCAAGTTCAAGACACGCGGGGGGTGAGGGAGGGGAGACGGGTGGGGTGCGGTGGGTGGGGCCATGGTTGGCTCGTGTGGTCTGGTGGTAGGGGAATTGAACGGTAGCGAGGCAGGAAGGCGGCAAGGCAAAGAGGCAGCAAAGCAGCATCACACCGCCACTTGAAGCTGGCAGTGGCAGACAAGACAACCATGCGCGCTCATGTCAGCACACAAGCCAGAAACAGCTCAGCTTACACAAGAAATTATCTCAACAGGCCTCTTGAATCTTGACTGTGCTGGGTTGCCGTGATTTGAGGCGTGCAAAGGCAATGCAACCAGTTCCTGATCAATACAAGACTGCTTAAAGGAGTGGCTTCCCGCTGATGTGTCATGTCGGCCTTGCTATCGAGTTATTTAGTCAGTACGTGCAAGCGTGTACTGGGTGGAGGTATTGTACACCAAATGCTACTCAAACCCTACAATATGCAAGGGATTTTCTCCTAAGAGATTACAGGGTTAGGTATCTGGGAAAGGGCAATCTTATCATGGCCGTACCGGTACCTACAAACCCCAGGCGTCCCTCTCCTCATCTCTGAGTATTGCATTCGTCTATCTGTTCCTGTGCTGCTACGGCTGCTATGGCCGCTAGGGCTGCTACGGCTGGTAGGGCTGCTACGGCTGATAGGGCTGCTACGGCTGATAGGGCTGCTACGGCTGATAGGGCTGCTACGGCTGCTAGGGCTGCTACGGCTGCTAGGGCTGCTACGGCTGATAGGGCTGCTATGGCTGATAGGGCTGCTACAGCTGCTAGGGCTGCTACGGCTGCTAGGGCTGCTACGGCTGCTAGGGCGGGCCGCCAGGCCACTTGATGACGCCATCCTTGGTGCACCCGATGCACCACTTGAGCAGGCGCTGTGGCTGCACCACCACGGGCGAACGCACCACATGGCCCACCTCGTCCCGCCACGTGATGCTGCCGTAGAAGAAACTCATCGACTTGCCCACCACGCGCACCACCACCCTGTACGTCACACTCTCGCCAGGCGCGATCGTGAATCGACGCGGCGTCACCGTGAGCACCACCCCCCAGGGGTTGACCACCGTGGCCGTGTAAGTGGACGGCACAGCCGCCACGTTCGTCACGGTGCGCAGGATGATGGTCACGCCCTTGGCGCGCCCCAGCGCGATGGACGGGCGGTTCAGGTTGCGCGGGGGCAGGCGCGTGAGAGCAGCGGCGGGGAAGAGCCTGCGCGTGCGGAACCAGCTCTGCCCCGCGAGGAAGTTGCGCAGGTGGCGCTCGCTGGCGTCGAAGGTCAGCCCGGGATCCGCCACGCGCGCCGCCTGCACCACCCCACACCCCATCTGCCACGGCGTTGCCTTCCTACCCGCCGCCGTGCGCATGGGCGCACCGCCCGCCGTGGTGGTGCGAGCGGACGTCATGAGTGCTGACATCACCTGTGCGGGCGACCACCCAGGCCGCAGCTGCACCAGCACTGCTGCAACACCTGCCACCAGCGGTGCGGCCAGGTACGTGCCGGTGCGGTTTATGAGGTCTCCAGGGGCACCAATGGTGGTGGCGGGGGCGGCGGACCAGAGGTCGACGCCCGGGGCGAGGAGGTCGGGCTTGAGCAGCGAGTTGGTGGGGAAGGGCGGGCGCACCCGGTACCACGGCCACACCAGCGGGCCCGCTGAGGAGAAGGCCGCCACTGTGGCAGCTGCTGTGCTGGCTGGCTGTGCTGCTGCTGCTGATGATGCCAATGATTGTGGTGCTGTGGCGCTGACGACACTGGAACAGGCGGGGGGAATGGACAGGAGCACAGACGGTGGGGTGTGACCGTGTGGTGATGGGATGGGAAGTGGGTGCACGCATGGCAAGATGCGTGTGTCAGAGTGTGTTCAGGACTGTGGAATGGAGGGAGGACACTGAGGATCAATGACAGGGGAATGGAAGAGAAGAGAAGTGCCTGCAGGACAATTGGAGTGAGGTCAAGAGAACAAAAAGCTGAGCCAGGAACCTGAATAAAAACAAGCTTGCTGCATCACAGCATGGAACACACTCACCTGCTATTGCTAACAGCAGGTGTCAAGGCTGTGCTGGTGTGGCGAGCAGACGCCACAGCTGACAACCCCCCTTGCCCTGCAACCGTGCTGTGGTGCATGGGATGGGATGACGGCATGTGATGGCGATGTAGGGTGGCGAGGTGGGTGAAGAAAGGGAGGAATGTACATGAAGGATCGGAAACAATTCTGTGAGATACTGCAAAGAGGGGTGAGGGGTCAAGAATGGTGGCATGTGCAAGCAAAGAAGGAGAAGCAAGGCGACGATGCAACCGAGATTCATGGGGCTGCATGCTAGCAAAGGGCTTGCGATCCACACAACAAGCACACACGAATTGGGCGAATGGAAGCCCACCTGGCGCCCACAGTGAGGTAGAAGGGCGAGAAGTTGTCGATGACGCGGATGTATGCCCCCAGCAGCCGCCAGAAGTTGGGCTGCCCCCAGTCACCCGCCCCCATCACCACCACCACGCCTGCCTGCCTCCACCCATGCACGCACACACACACACACGCACGCACGCACGCACGCACGCACGCACGCACGCACGCACGCACGCACGCACGCACGCACGCACGCACGCACGCACGCACGCACGCACGCACGCACGCACAACCGCGCGCACGCACGCACGCACGCACGCACGCACGCACGCACGCACGCACGCACGCACGCACACACACACACACACACACACACACACACACACGCACGCACAAGCATGCACACATGCACGCACAGGACCAATCAAGCTGCCAAACCGCCGGGCTGCGAGGCGGTGAAGCTGTAAGTTGGGTGGCTGGATTTCAACATGTCAAGACACCGGGAGCGAGCCTTCACGTATGCTCACTCACACAATGCGGCACTCACTCCTCTTTGCCACCCACACCGCCCCACCAACCCCTTCTTCTCAATGAAGACAGTCAACCGTCAACGTCCCCTAAACCCGCCTCCCCCTCTGCGGCGTGCACCCTCCCTGCGCCCCCCGTTCCCCCTCCCCCGCTCACAGCATGGGCGTGCAGGAAGGGGGCGTCAGTGAAGTAGGTGGCGAGGGAGCCCTTGAACCCCCCCACCGTGACGCACAGCACGTGCACGCCGTCCGCCACGGCGCGGTCCACCCCCGCCAGCACGTCCGCCTCAAACCCGTACCCCGCCCACACCGCCTTGTACACCGCCACCCGTGCTCCCGGCGCCATGCCACTCGTCGTCGCCCCATCCGCCCACGTCACCGCGTTGCCCACCGCTGCTCTGCGCGGTTGGGGCAGAGGCAAGGGGGGAGTGCGAGAGGGCAGGAGAGAAGGACGAGGGAGCAATGGCAGGACCGAGGGAGTGAGACAAGGAGGAGGAAGGCACGGAAGGAGGAATGTGGCAAGTGACCGTGGAAAGTTCTACAATGAAGAAGACTGAAAGAAAAAGACCAGTCAACCTTGCACTCACCCCTCTGCGCCACTGCACTCACCCCTCTGCGCCACTGCACTCACCCCTCTGCGCCACTGCACTCACCCCTCTGCGCCACTGCACTCACCCCTCTGCGCCACTGCACTCACCCCTCTGCGCCACTGCACTCACCCCTCTGCGCCACTGCACTCACCCCTCTGCGCCACTGCACTCACCCCTCTGCGCCACTGCACTCACCCCTCTGCGCCACTGCACTCACCCAGGGGCACTCACGCTGCGCTCCACGTGCCGCTGCCATGCATGTCACGCGGCGAGTCATACTCCGCGCTGAAGTCGGGCCCGCCTGTGCTGTGCTGGTTCGCCGCGTACAGGCGCCGCGCGCCGATGATCTTCCCGCTGCACGTGAAGTCGGGCGTTGAGTCACACGCGCCCTGCCACCCCGCCGGCACACCGCTGAACGCCTGCTGGGGGGCAAGGGAGGCGAATAGCGGAGCAGGCGAGAGTTAGGGGGAAACAGAATGTGCGTGAAAAATTGTGCATGTGTGTGAGTGTAGTGCTTAAGAGTATGAGTGACATGGAGAAAGAGAGTGTGTGCGTGCAAGGGAGAGAGGGTTACCGACCGAGGCATGGAATGCGGGGTGCTCAGGCCAGATGCCCGACCCCACCACCCCCACCACCACATCCGTGCCCGCGCTGCTCTGCCCGCCCGCCTGCTGCCACAGCGACCCCGGCAGCCCCATGAAGGAGGCGGCGTCTGCATCGTACGTGCGCGGCTCAGATGCCGTGGAGGCAGATGCGTTCCACGCAGGGGTGGGGCGAGCGCGCCAGGGAGGCGTGGTGGTGGCGGCGGGCGCGTGGAAGACACGGGTGCGGCGCACGGAGGCCACGGCGGGGTGCCTCTTGAGGCGCCACACTTGCAGGGGGGAGAGGGCAGCGGCGAAGGCGTGGGCCACGGTGTGCACGTGCAGCAGCACGGCCGCTGCCGCCACCCCCGCGTCCGCCGCCACCTGCTCCTGCTGCCGCTGCAGCGCCCGCCTCAGCGCCCTCACGTGCCCCGCCCTCATGTCTATCCCCCGCCGCCGCTGCTGCCCTTGCTGCTGCTTGCTGCTGCTTCTGCTGCTGCCGCTCTGGGGCGGGGGGAGAGGAGAGGCAGAGTGCGGGTCGGCCCCCTCGTCCCTGGGCGCGGTGGCGGGGAAGCCGGGGAGGTGTCCGCGGTACGTGGCGAGGGGGGCGCCGCGCAGCTCCACGATGTACTGCGCCCCCCGCTGCTGCCGCTGCTGGCGCGGGGGACCTGACAGGGGTAATGGAGGGGGGTGATAGAGAGGGGAGATGCGAAGGGGATGACGCGAGAGTGACGGGGTTCTCGAAGGGTCGAAGACGGTTCGCGTGAGGGGCGGCGAGGGAGAGTGAGCGCGAGTGGTGATGAGACAGTGCCAGTGATGACGACGCCACCACGTCGTTCAACTAGCGGGGACGGAGGACGGCAGCCGTTACCTCACCGTCGTGCGGAGGGGGCGCGCTGCTGGGGACCGCGAGGAGCAGCAGCAGCGCCGCCAGCGCCACGACGCTCCGCGCGAGAGGCGGCGAGAGGCGAGGCGGCGACGACGATGCGACGGTGGGCGGCATGAGACGAGGCCGCCCAACACACGGGCTGCTGACGGAGTGATCGGTTCTGGTGACTACTAGTAGGCAGACAACCACCCGCCTAAATTTGACATTTCATTACATCGCGGGGTGAAGAAAACGAAGCGCGAGAGGAAGCATGCCTGAACGGATGGATTGAATAGGAGTGCCGCGCTGACAGCTGCTCCACCTTGCCGTACTGTATTGACGGAACCTGTGCAGCTCGTAACGCTCTCAACGTCACGATCTTGCGCAGCATAGTTGCGACTCGCGTCTCGCCCTAGCGGTGCACCCAATTGTAGGATGGAGCAAAAAGTCACTTCTGTACCGTTTTGAATGATAGAGCATCGCATTTGGCCGCGCAGCCGGAAGGCGACAAAGAGCGATTGCCTAAGGTCGTGTTACATTTTCGATTTTTTTCCAAACGGACTGGACTGTATGAACGGTTTTAATCGGTTTATTTGTTAAACGCTTTGTTCAAGTGGGTTTCAGTTTGTTTCAGAGTGGTGAATGTCCGGACCCTACTGAAAATTAGAAAATGTAACACGCCCCAACTCGGACGGGATGCGCGAAAACAGAGAGATTCATAGGCGCGTTGGCGCCATGGTGCTTCAGACCTAGTGGGGCCTGTTCGGCTCGGCACTAGCCTTCGGCTCCGAACCTGCGGCGGACGTGCTCTGACACAACCACGGTCACGCAAAACCGGGAAAATATGTCACAAGTAACCATCATTGGGCTCCTGTAATGAATGTGAATTCATTACTGTAGAGGTTGCTCCTAGCGAGGACAGCCCCGAGCACTTCGCGTCAGTTTCGATGTTCGGCCTACACTTCGACCCGAACCACTGCCGAGTCGCTCCGCACCAATCGCGACACCTCCAGCCCAACCACATCCCGAGGTCCGCGCCTAGCACGTATTCGCCCTATAAATGCTTCTCTTGTTCATTCAATGCTGATTGAGTAATTCTGTAGTTTCATCCTTTTTATAAAGTCTTCCGCGTGTTGGAAACAATCGGTCCTAAGCGCCTCTGTCGTGTCGAAACACTAAGGCACAAGCAAAGCAAAGCATATCGAGGCACCAGCGAGTCAACCCTCGGAGGTTGAAGTAACTGCTGGAGGTTACGCGAAAGTCAAAGGTCAGCGACCTTTGACCTGACAAATACAGCGCGACAGCAAGGACACGCAACTGACTCGTTACAGAGCAGTTGCCCGAGTCGTCACTGTATCGAACCGCAACAGCAAGTAAAACAGTTATAACCGTATCCTTTCATATTCCTTGTACTCTTATATAATCTTGTATCTCTTTGTTTCAATCAACTTACTCTGCCCTCACATACTAGCGCAAGGTGGTTCAAAACTATTTATTAACGCTTCCGCTACTACACCAACTCTACCCAGAGTTCACCCCTGCAAAGATCCTAAGGGCTTTTCAGCCCAACATGGTATGAGAGCTATCAGGGGGAATTCAACTTCTATACCAACAGTATCAATTAGCATGGCTACACAAAAGGAAAGGAGCAACTCCAACGGCTCCCAGGGCACTACTCCTACTCCACCTCCTGCCTCTGGCCTACAGACAGAGGAGGGCACGGCAACAAGACCCAGAGCAACATCTACTGAGACTCCCGCGAATCAACCTGCAGACTTCGACCAGAGCATGATGGAGAAGTTTTTCTCCTTCATGTCCTTCTACGAGCAACACCAGCAATCGGCACCTGCGCAGTCACACAACAGCAACAACAACGGAGCAACACCCATGAGTATCGACGGCTCATCATATGCACGAGGAAATCAGCAACAGCAGCCTACCTTTGCTCCGTACGAGCGCGGGTCCATCAGCTTTATGCCACACCCACAGCCCTCACCTGGACAAGAAAAACCACTGGACGCATTACAAGTTCAGTCGCAGTTCGCACACGTTCTGAAGATGCAAACGTCAAGACCCTTTGATGGAAAGGACTTCTTCGTTCGAGTTTGAGCTGATGATGGAAGGCGCGCAGATACTCGGGCTCTTCGACGGGTCTCTGCCATACCCAACAAACGGCACACAGTACGAGAAGCAGCAGTACACCTATCAGTCAATGATAGCGTTCACGATCCTACTGAGGAACATCACCCCGACTCAACAGCAGAACATAAGGACTTACCGAGGTTACGGCAACTCCGCGGAGCTCGCGTACAACCACCTGAAGAGCCTGTATCAAGCAACAGACAGCGTAAGTCAAAGTCGGTTAATGGCGCAACTGACAACGGTTGAAATGAAACCAGGGGAGAAAGGAATGGCGTATATCAGTCGATGTCGCGAGTTGCGCGACAAGCTTCTTCGATGCGGAGGGTCGATTTCTGAAGACGCCTTCATGACAGTCATCATCGGCGGCCTCGGTCCTCAATGGCGCGCCACAAAGGCCATCCTCCGAGCTCACGGAAGAATCTCCGAAGCAGCGCTCTGCGCCGAAATCCACGCGGAGCAGCAAGACATGGACCTGCAAGAAGAACGACACAGAAAGAAGACATCAGCATCGGAATTCGCGTTCCACACTTAGCGACGCTACAACAACAACAACAACAACTGGCAGCAACAACCGAAGCCAGTACCTCCGTTCTGCCACATCTGCAAAACTTCAGGACACCCGCGTACACACTGCCCGAATCGTCAACAGTCAACAACTCCACATCGGCAACTTCGACCTTCAAGCAGCCAAATTGCCTCAACGCAAGTAAATCCCATGACTTAGATTCAAGCTTCAACGACCTCAACAAGACAACCTGCACAAGGAGCAAGAAACATCGTCAGCTGCATGGCAAAGCTGAGTGACTCCTGCATCACCGAGTCACCACCACACTACTCACCGGAAGACCAACTCGACGAAACCACACCCCGCCGCGAGTCACTTCAGCCGAACCCGACATACGCCGCCATCGCCCACCATCCGGAAGGGACACATGGTTCTTGGACAGTTGCTGTGGACAGCACATCTGCTCCTCGGGACGCTTCGTTCAACGAGAACACCAACTTCAACGCGAAGTTGTCATTACAGTCGCCAACAATCAGAACCTGCGAACACGTCGACAAGGTGTAGTTCAACTTCAGTCAAGGGAAACAAACGTTATACTGCAGATGTCAAAAGTACTGATCGCGGAGGGACTCGGCTACAACTTACTGAGCGTCAGTCAGCTAATGGCGAAGGGGATTCACCTCGAAGCAGACAGCACCACCCAAGAATTCAAGCTGTATCACGGGAGAGGAGGTCTCTACATCGGCAAGGCGGTCCTCAAGAACAACGTCTTCGTTCTTGATTTCGTTCCTGACCTTGGCACCGCTGACAGCGACGCCATTGTTAACTTCACCGACTGGACACACCCTCCAGACCTTGATCCAGACTTCAGTCCAGAAGGCTTCTGGTATTCACACACCATCCCTGAAGCAGAATGAACAAGGGCGTTAGCAACAATTCAGACAACATCAGCAGCAGCAGAGACAACATCGGCAGCAGCAGAGACAACATCGGCAGCAGCAGAAACAACATCGGCAGCAGCAGAGACAATATCGGCAGCAGCAGAGACAACATCGGCAGCAGCAGAGACAACATCGGCAGTAGTAGAACCATCAACGGCAGCAGCAGGAACGGCAACACCAATCGCTGGTCCTTCAACGACATCGCTCCTTATCGACGACACACCTCCAACACCAGCGCAACAACTACACCCAGCACCACGAGAAGTTCATCGTAGCGCCAACTTCACCGCCAACTTCTACTCCAACTCCGATATGTACCGACGATCACCCGGACATCGCGCCGACGAAAGCACCTGGCACGCAAGGATGGGACACCCAAGCAACACAGTATTAAACAATACGATAAGAGCAGGATTACTCGACAAGGACTCACTTCTACTGACCGACGGACGAGAACTCCAACGAGTACGCGGAACGTGCTTCACCTGCCCCGAAGGTGATTTACCACATCGACCGTTTACGCCTCATCACAACCCGAGCGCACCCGCGTACGCACCACTCGAGAAGGTGTATAGCGACATCCTGTTCAATCGGGAACCAGGACAAGTAACATACAACTACACGATCACCTTCATCGACGCCGCCACCCTTTACGTCCGGCACCTAAACCTCCCTAGCCGCGACATGGCATTCGCAGCCTTCGTTGCCTGGCTACCAGTAGCAGAGAGAGAATCGGGCGTACAACTGAAAAGCTTCCAGTCAGACGGAGGAGGAGAATACTGTCAGAACAATATAGCTTATACATTTGTGTAGGCTATAGTGGGGTAGCCCATAAGGGGTACAACCCAATTAGGGTTAGTACTTGTACCCAACTCTTTCATAGTTCAATCATTCTCGTTTCTCGTCATGGTATCGAGCAGGTTCCCGAGTGGGAATGCTGCCTAGGGCCCACCACGATTTTTTTTCCCTGCCCGGAGCGCGCTTCACTCCTACCCGAGTCGCGTTTCGTGTGCCTTACCTACCCTCGAGCCGCCCTTAGTGGCCCCTTTGGCCGCCCTTACGGCCCGTCGCGCCGCCCTCTAAGGCCCCTCGCGCCGCCCTTACGGCCCCTTACGGCCCCCTAAGGCCCCTCACGCTGCCCTTACGGCCCCTTACGGCCCCGCCTAGGCCCCTTACGGCCCCTCCGCGGCCCCGTCTAGGCCCCTCGCGGCTCCGTCTAGACCCCTCCGCGGCCCCGTCTGGCCCCTTACGGCCCCGCCTAGGCCCCTTACGGCCCCTCCGCGGCCCCGTCTAGGCCCCATTGCGGCCCCGTCTAGACCCCTCCACGGCCCCGTCTGGCCCCTTACGGCCCCTTACGGCCCCGCCTAAGCCCCTTACGGCCCCTCCGCGGCCCCGTCTAGGCCCCTTGCGGCCCCGTCTAGACCCCTCCGAGGCCCCGTCTGGCCCCTTGCGGCCCCGTTTCGGCCCCTCTGCGGCCCCGCTTAGGCCCCTCAGCGGCCCCGTTTCGGTCCCTCCGCGGCCCCGTCTCGGCCCCCCTGCGGCCCCGC